AGAGAGAGAGAGAGAGAGAGAGAGAGAGAGAGAGAGAGAGAGAGAGAGAGAGAGAGAGAGAGAGAGAGAGAGAGAGAGAGAAAGAAAGAAAGAGAAAGAGAGAGAGAGTGAGAGAGAGAGAGAGAGAAAGAAAGAGAAAGAGAGAGAGAGTGAGAGAGAGAGAGAGAGAGATGAGTCATTTGTTTGAATGCACCCTGTGCCGAATTGTTATTCCCCTGAGCATCCCCTCTCTCGTCTGCTCCTCCCACCCTTGCACTGCACTCTGCACATTCAACTCTCGCCCGGTGTCAGCCATTCCAGCGGCGACGGATTGAATTAGTGGCCTGGTGATGGATGTAGCTGGCCTTTCAGCGTGGCTAACTGCCCTGCCGGGGGTCCGAGGTCCGCTGCCGGGGGTCTGCGGTCCCCCCTGGCGCGGTCTTTGGTCTCTCCAGCGTCCAGTGATTGGCGCTGGAATGGTCCCATCAATATGTCGGAAGCGCTGGAGGACGAGGAGGTTGGTCTGGAGGGTGACTGGTGACTGGAATGGATGGGAACCGGGTTTGATTGGGTTGCAGTGGGAATGAGGCGTGAAAATAGCAAAAAAGAAGGCTGGACAGGTGATATTTGTCAACAAATATCGAATGAATAACTGGGTTAACAGCTGCGCTTCACCTGAAGCTGTGCTGATTTCAATCATTGCATTGAATGCTGACTTTCATGCACACTGCACGGTGCAATTTGCATTACCACTAAATAAGCATCGGGCGCCATCGAGACAAATGCAATTGTGATTCATTCGTCTTCAACCGCGTTTTTGGCGCACTTTATCACACCAGCATGGTCATTATCCGATCATAAACTGGGCATTTGACGCACACCGTGCTAACTAATACTCAGGTACCTAAATCTTGGTACGCACCCTGTAATAAGCAGTCTCCGCCGCTCCATTATCCAAGCTCAGGTTTCAGTAGGACTGACTGCTATCCGTGTAACGCATCACAATGTAATCTGACCCTTATCTCGGACAAGGCTCATAGGCATGGTAAACCTTCTTTAGAAGGTTCGGCGCTCGGCCGAGCGGTGGATAGATTCTTCTCACGGACTGGGGAGATCGCCCCTTTGATATACGGCTGCGTCAAGAGTTACAGTGTAGTCTCCTATCCTTTACGGACCGGGCGACCTCCATTCAAGGATCGCACAGAACAGAATCAGCTTGATGCTGATATTTATCTCAGCTATACCTATCTTGGGAGATTCAGGAGCGGCTTCAAAATCAATTTCACAAAGCATTGCCAGATAAAAATAATCATTTATGAATAAGTTATACCTTTTTTTGTGCGTGAGCGTTTTCATATTTGTGCTGCGATTCATTTACCTCCATGCCTTCTACCTGTGGCACTGTAGCCATGTACTTCTGCCGGTCACCGCTAGGCCCATGTACTTCTGCCGGTCGCCGCTAGATGCTGTGAACCGCGAGTTACAGTTTTGTTAATAGGTGTCGCTTTTACCAGTCTCTAAATTGCTAAAGCCTTCGATTAAGTTGTGCGTCCCCCTTTTAACGTTCCGTTCGCTTAAACTGCTGTATTGTTTGGACAACTGCATTGGCTATGTGTATATTAAAAACCATATGTATTCGTTTATTACATTCGATGTTCTCGCCAACATGTGTGCAATACTAGATAAGTAAGTTCGTATGTAAAACTATATATGTCTCGATTTTGTGGCGAAATACAAGAGATATCTGTATCTTACAGTGTTTCTACTGGCTACACCAGCCAGATTGGTGACCCCGCGTTCTGCGCACTAAGGGATCGCTATCCCCTCGTGTTCCCTGGCACACCGACACTGGCCTGCACCCTGAGCTATCTCCTCCAGCTCTCTTTGTGTAGGAAGGAAGTGGCGGATGGTGTGTCTCCACGAGGATCCTTATTTTGTGCTGTGTGGAACTGGATAACGCCGACTACTACTGCTGCACTAAGGACCAGCTACTTCATCGGCTCATCTTACCGAACGGCTACCTCTGCAGCTGCACCGCAGCACCTGCCGATCGCCGGATCGCCGTCGCCGCCACCGATCTTCCCGACCATTGCTCTCGGCAGCCATGGACCAGAAGACCCAGCCTGCCGGCGCCGGTGCAGCCGCCGGAACCGGTGCAGCCGCCGGCGCCGGTGCAGCCGCCGCCGCCGCCTCGCATGCCGCTGCTGCTGCTGCTGCCGCTGCCGCCCAACCGGACTACCTCCGCGTGGCGACCGCGCCACGCAGCCACGTCGCGCCGCCGCGCTTCTTCGAGGAGGACCCCGTGATCTGGCTCGTCCAGCTCGACCTCTTCTTCTCTCAGGCAGCTGTGGACGATGAGCTCAGCCGCTTCCGGATCGCCGCTACTCTTCTTCCTGGCCACCTCCTGCGCGACTTCACCGACATCCTCCGCAACCCTCCTCAAGACCGACCTTACACCATCCTTTCCAACGCCATCCGTCAGCGGTTCGGCAAATCAGTCGAACAGCGTCTTCGCTGCCTGCTCTCTGGCCAACAACTCGGCGACAGGCGTCCTTCCCAATTCCTTCGGCATCTCCTGGACCTTGCTGAAGCTGAAGGCTCACAAGATTCCCCGCTCATCCGTCAGATCTTCCTCAATGCTCTTCCGCCTCGGACTCAGCCCTTCCTCCAGTGCCTGCCGCCTGGGACGGACCTTGCGACCATCGCTAGCACTGCCGACCGACTCCTGGAGCTTCCGCAGCAGCCGGACGTCCTGGTGAACGACACGCCTACTGCAGCGACAGACAGCTCGGTGGACCGCCCGCCTACTGCACCCAGCCGCTCGGGAGCCCCCGGCGGCTCTGGCCCGTCTCGCCGCGTGCCGCCGGGCCCGCCGCCTGCTTCGCCGCCCCCTCTCCGTCGTTCGTCGCGTCTTCGCCGCCAAACATCTTTTTATGGTGTTTAACTAGGGCGGGGGAGTGATGTAGCCATGTACTTCTGCCGGTCACCGCTAGGCCCATGTACTTCTGCCGGTCGCCGCTAGATGCTGTGAACCGCGAGTTACAGTTTTGTTAATAGGTGTCGCTTTTACCAGTCTCTAAATTGCTAAAGCCTTCGATTAAGTTGTGCGTCCCCCTTTTAACGTTCCGTTCGCTTAAACTGCTGTATTGTTTGGACAACTGCATTGGCTATGTGTATATTAAAAACCATATGTATTCGTTTATTACATTCGATGTTCTCGCCAACATGTGTGCAATACTAGATAAGTAAGTTCGTATGTAAAACTATATATGTCTCGATTTTGTGGCGAAATACAAGAGATATCTGTATCTTACAGTGTTTCTACTGGCTACACCAGCTGGCACCCTCTTGTGGCACCGTCCGCTTCTTGGCACCTATCCACTCCACACCCACCAGGTCTCCAGTGCTGGTTCCTGGAATACGTTCCTCCCATGCTGCTGCTGCGGTCGGCCGCTCCGTGCCTACGAGCTGGACCAAACAATAGCCCCGTAAGGCGGTCTGCGGCCGGAAACAAGGTAGGGAGGGGAGCACGACTGCCCTCACCTTGACCGTACGCCCGTCTTGGAGTGCCCTCCCCCCCTCTCCCTCCCTCACGGAGAGTCATGCACGTTGCACAGTGCTGTGCGCTGCTCGCCGTCCAGCTATGATCACGTTCGCGTTCAGGGTGGCCGCGGCGTTCGCGGCGCTCTCGGCGGCGTTCGAGGCGCTCTTGGCGTCAATAGTGACGCACCGTAGACTCTATCGCAGCAGGGGCTGGAAGAGTTACGGATACTAATTTGGTTGAAACGAGCAGATATGAGCTTGTTAGCGGGCATTAGTCCATGTAGGGTGCACTCAGAGTACCTGGGAGGGCTACTCGGTCGTCAATGAACAGGCGGGAATAAAGGCTGTATGCGGCGCTGAAGGTCGTGAGCTGATTTGCTCCGGGGTTTTGTCTAGACCGGTGCTGCAGCAGAGCTATGTTGATGTCCAGCTCTGGGCTGTGGGCGACCTTGGATTAAACGCCGTTTGATATTGTTGGCGGTCATTGCCATTCTTTCCGTCATTCGTGTCGTCACGTTCATTCTGTCACGTTGTTTTGGGACATGAGTAGCTGGAACGGTAGATCGACGTCCGACGGGCATCAGCAAAGTGCATTCATAACTCATAAGTAGCTATGTACAAGGCATGCTTTATTTAAACGTTTAAGGCTTCGAGTTTATATTCTTACCTATCGAGACATAAGATAAGTAGTTTTCAAACATTTTAGCTCATCGTAAACGTTCGATCATTATGTGTAAATATTTAGATTTAACGATCGAAGTATGATCTCAAATATCGTTCAGCTGAAATCAGATCATAGTCAGACACGAAAATGAAGTAAGAATTTACGCGTTGATGTAGCAACATAGTTAAGTTGATGAGTTTTCTATAAATTTCCTAACTGAATACCACTTGCTTTTGCCTTCGTACACAACAAGCACCATCCAAGGGGGTCTCATATGATGCATCCCCGCACTAAACACGAGCTGAGGGGTCTGACTTCTGACGCGAGTCTGATTTCACTCCCCCCAGGCACGTCCGGTCGCCGCTGCCAGACCCAACTGTTCCTCTGAACTCTGACAGCTCTCCGTGACACAGTGGCCGCTGACGTGATGTGTCTATGAATGTGTCAATGTGTGTCACACCGTATGATAACAGTGCGTGGGTACGCAATTATCTGATCTTACGGGTGCATCCGACTTCTAAGCATCTCCTCCCACGTCCCGCTCAAGTACTCGCAGGAGAAACTGGTACTCATTGTCATATGTCAGCTAGAACCACGTTATTCACACTTCCTCGAATCATTTGTAGTTCCCTCAATGCATCGACAGCACTGAAATCACGCGTTATTTCTGGGTCGACGTACTGCTCATACCATGACCCCGTGAAAATAAACACACGTCACGTGTCAAACTACGCCAGTGACCTATCGACCCGCGGTGATCGATGCGCTCTAATCGCATTCCGCCGGCGCTGATCACACCGTGTGTCTGTTTCAGAGATTTGCGGTTCAACGATATCAGCCACCTGCCGCCGGGCGGGTTCCGGCGGATGCCCAATCTCAACACGCTGTAAGTGTGTGTAGGTGGTGAGCCACACGGCAGCGCCTCTGATGACGGTGGCTCATCCTTCCGGTTGACTGTTGAAAGCTGCTAAGATTCGTTCATGGTTGTGTCCTCTAAAAATTATATTAACCATGCTTGTGGGTATAGTTCGTTTTTCTTAAGTTTGCCCCTCACTGTAAACGTCTTTTTGAACATAGCACGAGAATGGCTAGCTGAATTACTGAGAAAACTGGTTAGCGCACATTGTATTGTAGATATGAATAATATTTTCAAAAAAAAGTATTGAACACCGACGATTTAACGTTATGTTAAGCGCCGTGCAAATTATTTATTAGTTCAGACATAATTCCTGAGAAGTCGTCTATCCCTGTGGGGCTGTAGGTATTAGCAAATGCCAGCTAAGAGTCTGTGAAATAGTAAGTAAATTTGATGAAATTGATCGTCTGTTAAATCTGGTCAAATCACTGTGCGCCAACCAGTTTTCTCAGTAATTCAGCTAGCAATTCTCGTGCTATGTTCAAAAAGACGTTTACAGTGAGGGGCAAACTTAAGAAAAACGAACTATAGTACAGTCCACAGCAGAAGTAATGTGGGGTTTCAGTCATGGGTATGTTCTGCTTCTGAAGCTTAGGAACGATTAGCCAGACTACAATGAAACTTTGAATGTAGCTTATATGTATCGTCACCCTTGCAACTGCAACTTTAGCTATTGACATCTTCTTTTCGATCACTCCGCATTAAACAATCGCCAGTCAAAGCCAACCGTTGAGATTGGTAAAACCACGGAATATATAGTCTACGACACGGAATATATAGTCTACGACAGTCGACTATATATTCCGTGGTAATATAGATAGTCTACGACTGTCGTAGACTATATATTCCGTGGTAAAACCCTACATTACTTTAGCGGTGGGCTGTACAATGTAGGTACTAACTTAACTACCTACCTTGGGACCTTCAATAGCTGTTCTGGTTTAACCCTCGCCGGACCTATTGGTTTTCTACATACGCGCCGGCCGAGGGGGGGGGGGGCGGGTACGACCCCCCCCCCCTCGCCGTTTCGCCCCTGGTGGAGCTAGCGCGTCGCGGAAAAAACGAGCGTGTGCGCCGTTACGAGACGCAGAGATTGGTACCCGATTTTAAGGTCCTAGGTCAACCGGTGACCTCTGAGGTCAGGTCAAGTGCCCCAGGGTACGGTTCAGTTTTTGGTGAATAACTTCGCAAAAAACGGCCGCAGAGCGCCGATTTTGGCAGCATCGTGTTTGCCTCGCTCAGGCGCGTCGAATGATATACTTTTTGTCCGGGTCAGGTCAACTTGGGGTGTTGACCTCAGGTCAAGGTCAGGTCAGCACCCCCAGGTCACGAAGTTGGTCGAAAGAGGTCATGTCGCATATCATTCGATTCGGCAGGCCTTCCTGAGTCCATTGGTGCCTTTCCCGACTCGCTAGCTCAATTTGATCAAGAGTTATTGACGAAAAACTAATTTGACCTTGATGACGTCATAAATGACGTCACGCAAGGTCAACATTGCAAAAGTGACGCATCTAACCTTGCAAGGAGTGCATCAAATCACGATTCTGTGTGCTTGAGATAGTTGGAGATCGTTCCCGGCGCCAGAATAGCAGTTTGAATTTTTCCCCATTGACTTATAATGGTGAGGTCACGAAAATGACCTGACCTCATATGACCTTTAGGAAAAATCCGAGATATACAAGTTGTGGGACTCATAATGGATACTAGATCCTGCAAGTTTCATTTCCCTGTGACATCTCCTCTGGCAGTGAGGGCGTTGCGAAGTTGCGACATCTGAAGACCGTGCAGAGGTTCACTTATGACGTCATAGGTCAGTGACCTGACCTGACCCAAAAATGCGGTTGGTGTCAAAAGATCCGGCTTGGATCAAAGGTCAGGTATGCCAAGTTTCAGCTCTCTATCGCCAGCGTGTTCGTAGCTATCGCGAAAAAACCCTATGGGGGGGGGGGCGGCACCCGCCCCCCCCCCCCTCGGCCGGCGAGGGTTAAGGACAGGATTAAAAGCTTACGACGGTATTAGGTACTTTGAAAGGAAAACTCTGGATATAAGTGTGCCTTGGCGTGTTGTTGAATGCTATATCAGAGGACTTTCGTGTTGACAACGTCTAACCTCAACAAGTAACAACCATCATGTATTTGCAGGCTGTTGAACAACAACAAGATCTCACGGCTTCATAAAGACACCTTCCTCGGGCTGAATGAACTCCGATATTTGTAAGTATGTGCAAAGACTTAAGCCTTACCGATAAATATTAGGAAGTAACGGACACTAACTTAAAGCAGCGCTTTGTTCATTAATTCAAGGGACTCGGTAACGTTAGCGGTTGGGTTCGTACCAAGTGACTCGTGTAATTAATGATTTTATAGCAGTATTTATGGAGCCATCAAAGGGGATTGCGGTGATAGGAAATCGCCTTACAGTAGATCGGGGGCTTATTTGGTGCCGTATTTTAGCCCATTTCCGGGCCGTAAATATGCATTTGTTTTAGGAACATCTCAAAGTTTAAGTTATTATTTTTCAGTTGGTAGCTAACTACTTGTGAGTTGTTATTATATGAGTGCTAGAGCCTAGAATTAAACAATTAAGGGACTCAGCCGAGAAAGAATTAAGTCAATGCTTCAACAACAAGTTGAAAACTAATGAAGGTCTGTGGATGTTTCAGATACATGTACAAAAATAGGATTCGCCACATAGATGCTGACGCCTTCCACAACTTGCCGAAACTAGAACAATTGTGAGTATAATTTTGTTCTTGTTCTTACCCGTTCTTACTTACCCCTGGTCTCCCCATTCCCTACAAACCCCGCTAGTGACAATTTATGCCCCTCCCCCACACACAGTTGCATTACCCTCTACCCTGCCCCACACCACTTAGGTGTGGTGTGATCCTATAACATCACCCTATGTAGATCACGTGATCGGTCACTTCCGGTAGCAAAGGTCCACATGCGTTTCCAGTTGACTGGTCGGCCCACGGAACATCCTGTATTCAAATTAGGAACTCCAGTCTCGTCTATCGTCTCACCCGACTCGGTTGTATCTCTGAGCTCTATCTTCCGCTATCGAGCTCCCGCCCCTGAGGTGGACAGACGGTAGACATTGGAAGCTGGATATAGACACTGGATAGCTGGGTGGACATTATAGACACATGGGTGGACACTGGATAGATGGGGAGACAATGGAAGGGTGGGTGGAGCAGCGTAAAGTATCCGGCGCTGGTGGAGCTCACAGGGTAGTCACCAGGCTATACTGATTTTGTTAAAGATGGATGAGCTCCGTCTGTCAGACCTCGGCAACCTATACGTTTAGTTTTAGTTTGTTCGTTAGTGGAGACGGTTAGCGCGATTGGCTTTTTCTCCCGTTCTCAAATTTCGTAAACAAGTGACAAAAACTACCAAGCTGGAATAGATATTGCGCTAATTACCTCATCGCTTTTCTTTATTTTGTGCTCAAGATGATCCGCTCTGAGCATCATGAGTAATATTTTCCATCTTCGTCGCATTCGATTTGCACCAGCATAGTGGCTCTAATGCCAATATTATATCGCTTTAGCTGCTGCTTGTGGTCTAGTGCTGAACCATGCGGTACAGTATACATCCAGGCGCTCGCAACTAGTGACATCTATGGGACAGTGCTGAACCATGCGGTACAGTATACATTCAGGCGCTCGCGACTAGGGACATCTATGGGGCTAAAATTAAATGACTTATCCTTATACGATCCGAGTGACCTTCAGGCATAATGTTCAGCCAGCCGCTGCCCTCAGCGAACTTCTTTTGTGGCTCCACTGTTTCAATGTTGGTAACCACACGCACATTTGGTAAACCGACGCCTCTGTCACATACTCCAGTGCAATACTGTACAGGTCCATACGCCGATGGATCTTCTCTTAACCATCCTTTTCCGGCTTCAGCTGACTCGCCACAACACATCTGCTCCAAGCCATACGCGTGTGCCCGGTTCAGTCCTTGAGATTCTGAGTGGGGCGTTGGGCACCTCGTTCCGACCCTCCCCTCTCACGCTCTCGGGCCTCCGCCCTAACGTCCGTCCTCGGACCCGCTCCGGCGCCGGATGAGTAATTGATGGCCGTTTTCCCAGGTACCTGCATTACAATTACATACAGGACATCGACGCCGAAACGTTCAGCAATCTGCCCTCCATAGAGAGATTGTAAGTACGCACGCCGAAATGTCGGCACATTTGTATTTATATCTCGTGATCGTTTACACGTGTTGGACAACGAGTTTGGCGAAAGTTTCCCGAGCAAACCTAATATTTAAATACCAATGGATTAAATTATGATCTTGACATTCGTGTTTCAGCTCATGGTTGATTTAAAATCAAACCGCTCTACTTCTAGTTGCCACGGCGATTTTCTCGGGCTCAGCATGTGCACAGCTCGCTCGCATGCACCAGTTCCGGGGCGGAGCGGCACGCTCCGGAGATTCTCCCTGCTCGTGCACGTGACGTTCGTGCAGGCTGGGGTCTGTGCTGAGGGGAGGGGGCACGAGCACCGGCCTGCAGACGTCCCTGACCAGATATACGTGAGCGCGTGTCTGCATACGTGCGTGAGAGCTCCGCTCACGACCCGAGCTAAGCCGTCCGAGCGCACAGTCGCCCACATTCGGTGACGCGGCAGATTCCAACTGCCGAGTCCAGCGGGTATTGTTTGAGCGGTGACAATGGGTGCACTGGCAGACTAATTTCGGGGTCGTCGATTGCAGCACGGGACATGGCTGCTGTCGGGATATCAGGGGACGGATGTGCGTCTGTCACTAGGCACATGTTTCTGCTCGGGTGGAGATCTGTCTCCCCGGGAAAGGTGCGGCGTTAGACGGTTTATGCTCCCGTGGTCATTAATTATCGGGACTGGTTGAAGACATCACTCAGCGGGGATTGCAACTATGCGCCTAAGCTGGCATTCCAACCAGAAATGATGGACGCTTCATTCATCTTCTCCGTCGATTAATTTTCCGAGCAATGATAAATTAATAATGTCATCTCAAGACTACAAACAAGCTTCACTCCACGTTGCTTACTTCTCAATTTGCCAGACACTCTCCGCTCAAGTCTGACCTAATAGTCGTAAGTAGTGCGATTAAACCGCGCCGCCGCCCATGTGTTTGTTGTTGTTGGGTCGGCCGTACTGCAGCCCCGGCGGGGTGTGGGCCGGCCGCGCCCGTCACATCCATTCACGGGGTAATTAGTGGAGCGGCTACCGGGCCCGGGGGGCTAGATGGACTCAGACGAGAGGCGCGGGAAGGGAAATGTTAGAGTCAGTGGAATGAAAGGAAAGGAGGGAGGAGGTGAGTGGTTAGAGGGGTGTCGGACTCAACACACACAAGCATTCGAATTCTTACACGAGAGACGAGAGTCCAGCATAGCGCTATGAAGGGTTCCGCTTCCTGTTGACTCCCAACGCTGACTTCCAACTGTGTGGGAGAATTGTGAGGCGCGGTGAGCGGTTCTGACGGGACCTGTAATGTGGTCCAACGTGTCAGCTGAACGGTGTTCTGACGGGGTTCTGTACCACTTTGTTTACAGATTCTTACACAATAACAAGCTGGAGCGGATACCGTACGGAGCGTTCAGCAATCTCACCTCGCTCAAACGACTGTGAGTATATCCACCGGGAAGTTAGTCGCGTCGGTTTCGGTGTAAAAGTAAATGTGTTTACTTGATTACGGACCAAATTATCAACGCAGCGCATATATTTGTGTTACCTTATATATAAAGTAAATTGTTGTATATCTTCAGCCTTCAAGCTTGTCAGCAAAAAAAGCATATATTATAGCCTGATTATCCCTACTAAAGCGTTGTAAAATACCAAAGTGACTTGTTTACGTGGCCTCAGTCGGCTTAGTTTCTCTGACGGTGTTTTATCTGTTTAGACGGCATCAAGCTTAGGGCGCATTAACTCCAAAGCGTGATATGCATCTTGTTGAGGCACATTTGCTTAGCCAGCCGAAGGGACATCCATGACACACACCGCGACACCTGTGGGACTGAGACAGTTTGAATATACGGAACCACCAGCAGCGAACTGCTCAGCACTGACTGAGCCCAGACGAATGGCCGAACACGACATTTAGCTCTGCGAGCTTGTCGCTGAAGGACACGGAGCTTAGAGTCAGCCCCTGGCAACCGGTCTGAGGCAATCCGCCACCCAGGCTGCAGCTATCTGCCACCGAATAAATCTGCCCGATCGGCTATCGAGTCGTTTATTTAATTAACATCGCGCTCCCGTCGTGGATTCGTCCCTTTGCCTTCGCATCATGCGCTCATCGTTTGGTGAGCACGATGATTGAAGTAAATGGTCTAAAGTTACAGACGTGAGGCGACCTTACGATGCTACTGAGACGGTTATAAAACGTGCATACTAGTCTGTAAGTCAAATTTATGGCGTGGAAACACATTTGATGCTCTTGTGACGATTCGGTTGAGTTGAGATATGATGTTGTTGAATGGGCCGTTAGTCATTTCATAAACACAACGTCCATTTGAGAGTCTAAAGTTGTGAGCGTCCGCCGTGCATTGCTGCTTAGTCACGGATTATCGTCGAGATGTCGACCAGTTTTGTCACTCGCCGATTGCGCGTTCCCCGTCGACAGCGCTCCTGAAATGTTTTGAATAGATTCAGTCTCCAAAGGTGGACTGAATGCCGGTGTACGCATGCGCATGCGAACGTGACCTATTTGAAACCCACCGTTGTTGGACAGGGCTAGGCGTAAAAAATATGGACTAGAGCCTTCCAGTAGGGCACTTAATCCTCAGGTGTTCATTGGACAGTTAACCCAAATACTTGATCCTGCGTAAATGATCAGATTAGTGATCGAGAAATTAAACCCACCTGTTGCGCCGATTTGCTTGTTGGAATTCAGTGCATCTGGTTCCTCGTTCGATTGCTTTGGCTTCCTGCCACTGCGTTTCGTTCGAAATGTTTCGGATTGGAAACTGTGCGTAATGCCTGGCCATTAAAAGTAATTGCCTTGTGAGCTTACCGAGGGACTTGCTCTAGTTGTGCTTGGCTGGCTTCTCGTCCTATTTCGCCTGCCAGTTGCCACCACTAGCCGAAATCGTGCGCTGGTGTCGTTCACTGAATGGATTCCGACCACCTATCAATGACAGGTGTTTACTGACATGGTGACAGCTCCACTGTCAACACACAGCTATCAGCACCAAACTGTCACCGCGTGACTGTCACCTGTCAGCTGGTAACTGCTGCTGTCGGCGCGTGACTGTCACTGTCTGAGGTGCAGCTGCGGCTCCGAACGGCGTCTGTTGCAAGGTCTGGCTGACGGCTGCCGATGAGAGCGATGCAGTGTGGAGACGAGACGTCGATGTGTCGCGATAGAGGCGGAGATGGAGTGCTGAGGTGCTGTCAGCGTGGTCTGGTGGTGGCAGGTTAATGCACCGGAGTGCATGCAGGAGTAGTGAGTGCATGCCCGTTGCACTCCTCGCAGCAGTTGTAAGACTAGCATCATGACAAACACAGATACAGATATAAGTAACATGACCAGGCGAGGGGACTCTGTTTGCCAACTGAGATGAGACTCCCCCTAATTGAATTGACGTCACCCTCCACCGTGTCTCCTTGCCTCCACCGTTTTACAACCCTCTCCTCCTCCCCCTTCCACAGCCGTCTGGACAGTAACGCGCTGATCTGCGACTGCCGCGTGCTGTGGCTGGCCAACATGCTGCAGGAACACTCGGCACACTCGCTGGCCAGCGCCACCTGCCAGGAGCCGGCCGAACTACACGGACGGAGCATCGCAGACATCAAGGACCAGATGGTCCACTGTGGTGAGCGAAGGGGATTATTTGGTCCACTGTGGGGTGAGAATGGTCCGCTTGTTTGGTTAGCACGTATGGCGAAGTGGTCTTCTGACGATCCGGTCTATGACACGGACGGTCCGCTGTCTCATGATTCGGCACTTCTTTCACTCGATATCACCTATTGTTTTCTGTCAAGCAATTACATCAGCCGAGTTTCATTTAACATCTCCGTGTTTTCAGCGGCGCCCCATCTAACCGAGGAACCTCGCAACGTGGTCATCACGTTCGGGAAGACGGCCTACTTCCACTGCGAGGCGGATGGCGACCCCCAGCCGGACATTGTGTGGCTCCAAAACAGGTAACACATACCCGCCACACTGTGGCAACAGGACAGGTAACAGGTAACACAGAGGGAACACACCGGTTACACACCGGCAACCTACCCCGTCACTGTGTAGCACTGTGTAGCAGGATAAAATAACAGATAACACACCTGTAACATAGGTACACCGCCGCCCGCCACCATGGTAACAGGACAGGTAACAGGTAAAACACAGGTAACACATACAGCCGGCCGCCACTGTGGTAACAGAACCGGTAACAGGGAACACACCGGTAACACATACCGCCACCGTGTGGGTGGCGTGCGGCTGGCCGTCAAAACACCGCCAGTGATAGCTGTTTTCGTGCGTGATTTGCGCGGTGCAAAGTGGTTTCAAGTGTTGGCACTGTACTGATTGGGTAATGTTTTGATATTCAGGTTTGGTGGGTTCAGTGCCTACATCATGTTTCGTGTTTGGAAAGTTCGAGTCTCGCCCGTGACAAGTATCGTTGATCGCTTATGAGGAATGTAGAACCTTACACAGTAGAACTCGAGTGTTCATGCTTGATCGACCGTGTTGATGTGTTTATATTACGGTAGATCTGCTGTTTTCCCTAGTCTGTCGGTGCCATTTCCATTACCTATCTGAAGTCAAGACCAGTCTACCAGACATCAAGAATACCTATCTAGCGGCGTCTGATCCCTTGATTTCCCTCGTGTTCTGTTTTCGTGACCGCTATTTTCACCCCACCCGCTGATTGGCTGATCTACGCTGCCTCACCTTCTGATTGGCCGATGGCCGCCTCCGTTCGCAGCAACGAGCTGAGTGCGGACAGCGCCGACGATGGCTATCAGATCCTCTCGGACGGCACGCTGATGGTGGAGCCGTCGCGGGAGCCGGAGAGCGCCGTGTTCGAGTGCATGGCCAAGAGTCCGATGGGCGAGGTCAAGTCGCGACCGGTCAGCGTGCGGTACGTGCCGGTGGCGGGTGAGCCGGACCACGGCACCCCGCCGGCGGCCGTACCGCGCGCTGAGCTGGGCAGGACCGACACGGACCCTCGCACCGCGCACCCCTCCCGACCCGACGAGAGAGAGCGATACAAGGAAGAGGAGGAAGAGGAGGACAGCCAGACGCGGAGAGAGCGACAGAGCTTCTACGACCACCGCCGGCTGTCGGCGAGCAGGAACCGCGAGGATAACCGGGTGACCTCGCTGAGACGACCGTTCGTGCCGGCGTCAGTTCCCGGCAGAGCGGGCGCCGACCGCGGCCGGGAGGAGTCCAACGTCGCCACGCAGAGTGAGAGAGGGCAGAGGGAGAGTAAAAGAGAGATTCGAGGATGAAACGATTCGGATGTTTTCGCTAAGCACAGTTAGACAGATAGCAAACATCACGAAATGTATTTGGCGGAAGGTGTCGGCGTTAGGACGTTTGGACGGGATAGTTTGGACTTTGGTCGTCAGTCGCAGTTTACTCTTGTCTTCTAAAGATGTCTACTTGCCTTGTCTTCCCCATAATCCCTTCAGGCCATCACCGTCTGTCTCACCGCCTAACCCTCCTCTCACCCGTCTCAGGTCGTCCGCGATTCATCACACCGCCACGAGACCAGTACGTCGGTCTGGGCGACCTGGCCGAGCTGAGCTGTGTCGTGGACGGGTTCCCGACACCCCAGCTGGTGTGGATGCGGGCCGGACACCCCATCACAACCCAGACGCCGCGCTACAGGGTGAGAACCGGCGCGGGCAGACGGAGTCTCGGTGGTAAATAAGGTGCAAACGGGCTACAATGATGCTGACGCTAGATTGTGCAAGACGCTGAGTTGTTATTGACAATTCATGAATGTAGTTACCGCTCTTGAACTTTTTTCACCGTTTTTAATTATTTTTATGTGTCTACTTTATTTTCATGTTGCTCATTGGAGCTGCCAGCCGCCTTCTTACTAAGTGATTTAATTAATAAAAAACAGTCGGTTTTGGCCTCTTAGTTGCACACGGTACCATTTCCTGTCTCTCATTTGCGCACGGTACCATCTCGTCTCTGACGACTCGACCTCTCTCTCCTCACAGCTGCGGTTCGCCGCGAGAGAGGCCAACCTGACCATCATCAACGTGCAGCCTCAGGACGCCGGAGAGTATCGCTGTGCGGCGGCCAACCACCTGGGCAGGGTGGAGGCGCCCGCTCAGCTGATATTGCAGGGTAAGAGACGGGGGAGGGGAGGGACAGGGGGAGACAACAACCACCTGGGGAGGGTGGAGGCGCCCGCCCAGCTGATTCTACAGGGTGAGGGACCGGAGGGGGGGGGGTACGCCAACCACCTGGGGAGGGTGGAGGCGCCCGCCCAGCTGATACTGCAGGGTGAGAGACCGGGGGAATCGGTCTCGAAAGTACGGGTCATGAGACTGTAATGAGCCTCAGTGCTTGATTCATTGATGAATGAATAAATGAATGAATGAATGAATGAATGGATGGATGGATGGATGAATGGATGGAAGGATGGATGGATGGAATGATGGATGAATGAATGAATGAATGGAGGAAACTAGTGAGACTGGATTTAGGATGATTGACTGGATATAGTTTGTGGGTCTATGGTTCGCGCAATGCGCAATGGTGCATTCTTGCCGTTTTCGGTTAACTAAATGTCAGAGACAAAAAAAAAGACTATATCCTTAACTTGACCTGACCTCTGACCTGACCCCCAGCCATCCCGCGGATCACGTCCCCGCCGCAGGACCAGGTGGTGCCTGCGGGGGCCAACATTGATCTGACGTGCGGCGCCAGCGGGTACCCGGCGCCGGAGGTGGGCTGGCTGCTCAACGGACGACGCATCCGACACAGCTCCCGGGTGGCCGTACTGGCCGGAGGTGAGAGGAGCGGAGAGAGAGAGAGAGAGAGAGAGAGAGAGAGAGAGAGAGAGAGAGAGAGAGGGAGAGAGAGAGAGAGAGAGAGAGAGAGGGGGGAGCGAGAGGGAGAGAGAGGGATGAGGTGTGGAATTCAGAGAGTGAGGGGATACTGGATGACTATGGGTTGCGTGATGCATTTATAACAGCCATAGTGGTGTGTATTTGTCAGCTGCGTGGCACCCCTGGGGTATAATTCTTCATTGCAGACACTCCCTTGTCTCGCTCGACCATTGTATGTATGTACGGACTCGTCCCGTGCCTGGAATCTCTCTGCACTGTCAGACTGTGACGGTCGGCCAAACACTGCGCTACCGGTCTCACGCAGATTCTGGGGTCCATTTATCAGTGGACCGCTCCTCCTGCCGCCGGGCCGGTATCATACTGGCGCCGGGGCAGTGACGAATCACCCGCCCACAGTCGGGGATTATTTATTAATGTCTGTAATACGTCTGGGTGAATGGAATTGCTTACAGCGCATACTGTGCTACAATGGCCAATGCTTGCGGACGGAAACCCTCACTTTTGAATTGTTTTGATTTTATGCATACAAAACTCTGAGTCCTATTCACACAGAAGCACGTGTTATACGCACACTTCTTTCGAGTCCTCTCGGCGCTTCTCGCAGCTCAGTTGATGAAGCACCCCTCCCCCCTTCTCTTCAGGAGGCGTTCTGCGTATCACCAACGTACAGTCGGCAGACGCTGGCACATACACGTGCGAGGCGCGCAACGAGGCCGGCGTGGCGCGGGAGGACGCCGACCTGGACGTCACTGGACGCGTGAGTGATGGACGGGGAAGGGAGAGAGGAGAGGAGTGTGAGAGAGGGATAGGGAGGGCCGTGCACGGGTGAGGACAGGATCCAAACTGTTCCTAGGGGACCTTTATCATAGATATAGGATGAAGTCAGGTCAGGTTCAAGTTGATGCAGAGAAGTATGTCGCAATTCGGTCTTTTTGCTACCTGCCCTTGATTGCGTTTTATTAGTCATTCTGTCGTTTTGTCCAATTTGTAATTTCGGATGACTCATCGAAATCACCGTTCTTACATGGTTTTAAGTGGTATATTGCGCTCGCCACTTTATGTCACTCTGTAGCCTCCCTGACCCCCGCCCCTGACCCCCGCCCCTGACCCCCGCCCCTGACGCCGCCCCTGCCGTGACCGGTCAGGCGGGCCCCGTGCTCAGTGAGCGGCCGCCCGTGACGCTGTCGGCCACACGCGGTGAGAGCATTGCTCTCATGTGCCGCGCCTCGGGCTCGCCCATCCCGGAGGTGCAGTGGAGACTGGTCGGAGGAAATCTGTTCGCCGACGGACGCCACAGGTGAGAGCGGGGGTCGACGGTGAGGGAGGGTCAATGAGGGCTAAGGAAATTTGACGAAGGTTGGTAGGGTGTCACTAGGAAGATGAATAAAGGTTGTTAAGGATGTCACTAGAGTGGAAGATGAGGCAACTCAAGCTGGGGTAATATAATATCGGACCCAGTTGACTTTGTACCAGAAAGTTGCTCTGGGGGAAGGTGGATATCCCTCGACCCCAGTACGTCCTGCGCCTACTACCACAAATATAACCATCTGCCCGCCTAAGCACTAACACTCGGTCCACCCCACCCTCTTCGCAGCTCGACGGTGGATGGGACTCTGACTCTGAGAGACCTGACGCCTCGGGACGCCGGTATATACGAGTGTAACGTCGACAACGGAGTCGGACACGCCGTGGCCACCACTCACCTCAGCGTCCTGGAGCCGCAGGTGGGGGAGAGATGAGAGAGAGAGAGAGAGAGAGAGAGAGAGAGGGGGGGGGAGGAGGGAGGGACAGAGGGAGGGGAGAGATAAAAAGAGACGTAAATAATGGAGAGAGAAGGAAGTCAATGTTTCTTCGACACAGCACGTCGCCGATTTCGCTTCCTTATTCGCCCTCGTCCCCCTCTGACCACTATCTTTCCGCTCCCGCAGCTGTCGTCCTCGTCTCGTCCGGGAGACCGGTTCGTCAGTCAGGGTGCCGCCGAGGCGACTCGGGACGTCGAGATCGCGCTGAACCGTACCTTGCAGCAGCTGTTCGCGCAGCCACGACACCACCGGCGCACGCCGCACGAGCTGCTGCAGATCTTCAGGTTAGAGGCGCCCGCTGTGGGCTTATTGTGGAGTAACGACGACGGGAAGCGATAGAGTTGTGGGAATCATAAATGAGATTGAGAGAAAAGAGATTTAGATTAAGAGAAAAAGTTTCTGCCAGGGGACTGCAAATGTCTATTAGGTTTGGCGTGGATAATGCGTATGTCAACCCACTGAAAGCTACGCCACCCATACGTTTTCCAACAATAAGACGTCAATAACGATGATATCCCGCGAGTTGCTGGGGGGGGGGGGGGCGTTAAACGCCCCCACTTTTTTCGCCGGGCCATAGCATAAAAACGGCGCGCCGCAGGCGCGCCAAATTTTGGGTACCTGTAGGGAATTGATTGAAGTTTATTGTGACAAAGTTTCAAAAAAATCGGTCAGAAAATTTTTGAGATATCGAGGTTTTAGTGACGTCATGATTTCTGAGTTTTCGACCAAAAACGGCATATGTTCAAAAAATCATATAAAATCACAGAATAGACATACAGACATGCCGTAAACGCCATTCGACTGCCAATACCATGGTCAATCAAATGGCTATCTTCGATTATTGATTATCGTTCCGCATTTTCCATAATCTTGAACTGAATCTTGGCAATTTTTCGTGACTACTTCACGACCATGATACATGAATTTCTTAAATTGAACTTTTTGAGCCAAACACGTACTCATATGATAAAATGAATGTCACCATCGTGTTTTACGCCCCAAATTACCTATAAAACATGTGTCACAGGCTGCGAATATCAGTTTTGATTTTCGGGGATATGTGCCTACCCGGTTGACCTGACCTTGACCCTGACCTATGCTTGACTGACCCCTACATGGAGCTGACACTCTTGTAGGCCTTATAAGATGGATTGTGCACCGTTTTGACAGAGTTTATGGCGAGAGGCGCCCATTGCGAAGTCCTGAAGTCCATGCTACTGAAAGCCCGATTTCAGGTGTTTGACCTGACCTTGACCCGACCTGTGACCTCAAAATTCAACTTTAAAGTACTCATCTGAAGCGTCTCGTCGCGCTCTTTCGTTTGCCGCCTCGTGCGTTTCGCTGCGCCTATTGGTTCTCGAGTTATCGGCTGGGGGCGTTTAACGCCCCCCCCCCCCCCCCCCAGCAAACGGTGGGTGGCGAAATACCCCAGCAACTGCCGGGATATATAGCGGCGTTTTGTGTCTGGTCTCAGGTTCCCAACGGATGAGGCTCTGGACCTGGCTCGAGCCGGCGAGATCTTTGAGCGCGCTCTGGAGCTGGTGAAACGACTCGTCGAGTCCGGATCGCACTTCAACCTCACCAGTAAGCGGATGGGCATAGATCTCTGCTATGTTATCCAGCTGAATGGATTTGATTCCGGGCTTGACGCTGGTGTTGATGTAGGAACCATTTGTACTAAAAATATCGGACATGTTTATCTTCTGTTTACTTACCCATCTCAAAAACTTCACCAATGGTTCATCGGTAAAATATTTGTACTGTGTCTCAAATATAAACTACACACCGAACACCATCTAAAACTAGTGCCACTACAGATTATACCACTCAACATGGTGCCTATACCACAGTAACCCCTCCCTCCGTCTCTCTCGTCCCCAGACTACGCGTACGAGGACCTGCTCTCGGCCGGCCAGGTGGAGCGACTGCGGGACCTCTCCGGCTGCTCTGCGCACCGGCGCCACCTCAACTGCAGCAACCTGTGCTTCCACAGCCGCTACCGCAGCGTGGACGGCACGTGCAACAACCTGCAGCGGCCGCTCTGGGGCGCCTCCCTGACCGGCTTCAGACGGCTGCTGCCGGCAGAGTATGAGAACGGCTTCAACACGCCCAGAGGTGGGTAACCGGGGAGGAAGGTGGCCGCGGGAGGGGTGGGTAGGGGCTGTGGCTGCTCGATCTTTGACCAAACGGACACAGGTGATTGATTAAATAAAACGCGATTTTTTGGTCATGATAACAGGCAAAGGAATCGAATACGATCCATTTCGGTTTATTTTTTCATGTCATTGACGGGTGTTTTTGTTAGTTACTTTAAATGCTAATGCTCACATCACACTATAAGCAGTCATGCTATTCTTGATTACAGGTCTCAGCGTTTCACTATTCTGCCCCCTCGGTGAAAGCCGTTCATTTACGCTATCTCCGTCACCTCTCCCCGCCAGGTTTTGACAGCGAGACGCGCTACAACGGGTTCCTGTTGCCGAACGCGCGCTCCGTGTCATCCCGGCTGGCCGCCACAGACACCATCACTGAAGACGGCGAGTTCAGCGTCATGTTGATGCAGTGGGGGCAGTTCATTGACCACGACATGGACCACGCGCTGCCCGCCTTCAGCGAGGTCAGCTTCGACGGACAGCACGAGTGTGACAGGTCAGTCGGAGGAGTAGGAGTTTGTAAATTGTGGATCCGGGGCCCTCGAGGACGAAACTTAGATCTTGGAAAAGGAAGATATGTGGTTTAGACGGTCAAGGGGCGGTCATTTGGGCGCGAGACTGATCATTTTATTAATTTCAATCAGTCTTTATAGCCCTGCTTTGTGCTATGACGGGCCGGGGATATGTTTGTCATTCTCTCGCTAGATGGCACTAGTTGTGTACGCCTGAAGGTAGACTGTACCGCATGACCTGAATTCACACCGGGACGGAGATTAGAGAGCTCCAGCGACCCAGGCTTGAACCAATGCAACACATATTGTGTTTCTTCACTGTTGAAACTTGTTCATCACACTTACATCCCTTCTATCTATCTATCTATCTATCGATCTATCTATCTATATCTATCTCTATCTATCTCTTATCTCTCCCCTACAGCACGTGCCGGAACGACCCGCCGTGTTTCAACATTGCCATCCCACCGGGCGACCGGCGCGAGGCGCACCACCGCTGTATGCGCCTGGTACGCAGCTCGGCAGCCTGCGGGTCCGGATCGACCTCGGTGTTTGGCCACGAGGTGATGCCCAGGGAGCAGATCAACGGGCTCTCCAGCTTCATCGACGGCAGCATGGTGAGATGGTGGGCGCAGAACGGAACAAAGGGTGGAGATGGGAGACGGGATCAGAGATAGTGAGGGCGACTGCAGGGCCGATAGCTGACCTCTGTGTGGACTGTGGAGTGTAGGGAGATGTAAGCTGGCATAGTTCTTTGTATCTGGCGTCTATTCGAGCCTACTTTTTAAACAAGGCTGATAATATCCATCTCATTCCATCTTCTTCATTATTATCTTATAAAATGTTTTGTCTACATTCAGTCCTTTCTCCACCGTTCTAAGCAGTTATAAGCAGTTCTAACCCTGACTGCTAAGCAACCGTCCACCACTTATTACGACTACCTCCCAACGCCTATAACCGCTTCCACCAGCCTTACCAGACGCTCGCCCTCCCCAGATATACGGTAACACGGAGACGCAGGCGCATCACCTGCGTAACCACAGCTACCCGACGGGCCGGCTGCGTAACGGCATCTTCTCGCGGCCCCATCGGCCGTTCATGCCGTTCAACGACGGGGTGCCGGTGGACTGTCAGAGGGATCAGAACGACCGCTCCGATATCGGGTAGGCGGACTTTGAGGAAGGGAGTGGGAGGGAGGAGGAGATCAATGTGTGTTTGAGGTTTTTTCCCGTCTCAAGCCAGTTTACGATTTTTGGTTATTGAGTAAAAGATGGCAAGGGGTGTATCTGACGTAGATTTGTGAGGTTGGAATTGCCCTTGAGCACGACTGACGGTCTTATGCATCCTCGAATAATTCATACATTTGGTTGTAATTGTATAATCTTATTCCCGGCTGTCTGATTCACGCCGCCCGTTGACCGTCGATCGCTACTCTATGCAGGTGTTTCATGGCCGGGGATGTGCGCGCCAACGAGCAACTCGGCCTCTCCGCCATGCACACGGTCTGGCTGCGCGAGCACAACCGGGTGGCGGACCGTCTGGCCGTGCTGAACCCGCAGTGGCATGGCGAGGAGCTGTACCAGGAGTCGCGCAGAGTAGTGGCCGCAGAGATCCAGCACATCACCTACCAGCACTGGCTGCCGCTCGTGCTCGGACCGCAGGGCATGGCGCTGATGGGTCCCTACCGCGGCTACGACCCCTCCGTGGATCCGAGCATCGCCAACGCGTTCGCGACCGCCGCGTTCCGTTTCGGTCATGGTCTGGTGGGTCCGGTGTTGTACCGGCTGAACGAGACGTTCCAGCCGATCCCAGAGGGGAACCTGCCGCTGCACCGGGCTTTCTTCGCGCCCTGGAGGCTGGTCCAGGAGGGCGGGATTGACCCCGTCCTCCGTGGGCTGTTCGCTCGGCCGGCCAAGGCATCGGCGCCCGATCAACTGCTCAACTCCGAGCTCACTGAGAAGCTATTCGCTCTGCACCACCGCGTCTCGCTCGACCTGGCTGCCATGAACATCCAGCGGGGCCGCGACCACGGCCTGCCGGGCTACAACGCCTGGCGGCGCCACTGCGGGCTCCGGCCGGCCGCCAACTTCGCCGACTTTGCGCGCGAGATCCGCAGCGCGCGCGCCCGGGACGAGCTGCGCCAGCTGTACGGCCACCCGGACAACGTCGACCTCTGGATGGGCGGCATGCTCGAGGACCATGTGACCGGCTCCAAGATGGGGCCCACCTTCCTCTGCATAATCGCCGACCAGTTCCGCCGGCTGAGGGACGGCGACCGGTTCTGGTACGAAGCTGACGGCGTGTTCACACCGGCCCAGCTGGCGCAGATTCGGCAGACGAACCTGGCGCGCATCCTCTGCGACAACGGCGACGCGCTGCGCCAGACGACACGTGACGTGTTCCGCGTGCCGGAGCGACAGTCGCCGCGGATCATACAGTGCGAGAGCACGCCTCAGGTGGACCTACGGATGTGGGTCGACTGCAAGACCTGCAGAGGCGAAGGTACGTCAGTTGCACGGAGGTGTGGCGCCGACCCGACGCGGTGATGTTGCTAATAAGAATGTGGTTGGCCTTTTACAACTTATCCGCCTCTCTTTACTATACCTCACGTATACTTTATGTCCATTAGTTAATTCAGTCATTGTTTCTTTCGTTCATCCTTCAAGTCCCTTGCGATCTTAACAGACCAATTTTTCGAAGCATACATAGTGCCCAGTGAATTTCAACAACTCGTCATTTCCAAGTCACGTCAGCTTATGCTCACCGTATTGTGTCGTCGAAATGCCACCGCACTATCGCCCCGGTGTTCTGGCCTGACTCCGACCCTCCCGCTCTCTCTTCAGACTGTGTGAGGGACGGCGCTCGCCCGGGGCGCTCTCGCCGCTCTGTCCTGCTCTCGGCGCACAACCACCTCTCTCCGGAGCCGGAGGCGGAGCAGGAGTCGGGAGAGAAACCCGCCCCTACCCCCACCCCCGCCGCTCTGCCTCCTCCGACGGACATTTACCACGCCGAGGATGTGACCGAGGAGCGAATCCAGGGTCTGGAGGAGATGATGGAGCGTATGCACCGCTCGCTGAGCCGCGTGAGGCGCGTGCTGCGCCGCCTGCGCCGCGATCACCACCAGAGCCGCCGCCAGCAGAGCAGGCGACATCGGCGCGTCATCGGACTGCAGGATGACGGGTGAGAGAAGGACGTCATCAGCCCAGAGAACGGGTGAGGAGGGAGAGAGGACTGGAGGATGACGGGTGAGATGGGAGAGGACGGGGGAGGAGGGAGAGGGGAGAGAGGACTGGAGGGAGAGGGGAGAGGACTAGAGTATGACGGGTGAGGGAGGGAGAGAGGATTGAAGTCAGAATAGGATGGGTTAGGGCGTGGGAAAGGATCGTGATAGCCACTGCTCCAACATTTGAGTTTGATGTGAAGGGTTGTTTTCTTTAATCTGCAGCAAGTAAAGTAAGCGAAAAGTTAATATTTCCAGGAAATGATCAAGGAAGGGTCTGTGTGATACCGAGAGGTCAGCGTGTCTTGAACACACCGGGCTGGTAGTCTGCCCGCCCTCTCTGACCTGGCGGGTCTCCGTCTCGGCAGGCCGGGCCGCCGGACCGTCTAGGCGGCGCCGTGTGTCCGGACAGCGGCCTTCAGTCCGCCTGTGATACTCTACACCCAGTGCCAAACGGCCGGCGAGTCGCCCCGCCGCGCCGATCGGAGCAGCCTCCACTGCCAGCCAGCCGGCCACGTGCCGCCGCCGCGTCCCCCACGGGCCGCCGCGTGTACACGTGCTGCCACGTGCCCCACGGGCCGCTGCGTGTACACGTGCTGCCACGTGCCTCACGGGCCGCTACGTGTCTACACGTGCCGCCGCGTCCCCCACGGGCCGCCGCGTGTCTACAAGTGCCGCCGCGTCCCCCACGTGTCACCTCGTGCTGCGTGTACTCGCTGAGTGTTGTTTTGCGTCGGATGCTAACACCGGGCTTCGGCAAGTGACTGAGAAATAGTCTGTCGGGCGCCCCGAACTGTTTGTTGCTGGTGACCGGTGTTGCCGTCTTGCCGTGTGTGGCTTCGAGCAGTGGCCGCCAGGGGCGCTGTCGGCGCAGTGATGTGTGCGGCGTTTGTCGAGTGTGCTCCTCTGCTTTGAAGCGCTACAGTTGCGTCTGGCGGTGTGCTCCGCCGGAAAAAAATGCTTATGATACTAATGTAGAATTAATACATTGATTTTACACCAGTAAAGAGTCGATGCAAATGTAAGATACCTGCCTGCGCTTTTGGGAGGCCACGAAATAAAGCGGCAGTAGAACCTTTCACCAGGTACGATGTCACCCCTTAGGTACCCGGTGTGTCCCGTGTCTCAGTTGACCCGCGCCCTGGCACTCCGCCCCTCCCGCTGTCCCTGTGCCCCCGGGGTTGCGGTCTCCCATCGTCGGTCTGTCCTCTCCGGTGCCGCACGGGTCAGCGGGCTACAGCTCCGCACTCCCTCTTCCCCAGGGATTCCTATTGACGGGTCTCGGCTGGGAGGATGCCTGCCACCCTATCCTCTTATCCCTGAAAGGCGGCTGATGGTGGTCGGATGAAGCACGGATCCGTGGGGACAGCCGGTGTGACCGAATGTTCCATCAAATTTCGTAAAGCCATTGAGCTACATTACTGACTCGTGGAGGATATATTTTACACATACAAGCCTAAGCTTCATCAATATGACAACGCAACACGGAAACATGTTCCCAACTCCCATTTCTTAAGGACCACCAGTTAGGTCGGCGCGGTGAGACGTACTCTCAGGTCTGTCGGGCATCTGCGTCTTCAATGAAGCTTGGATCAGCCATACGACTACCACTTGGACCACTCGCGTCAACGGACTCGAGTCACTTACTGCTGCTCGTGGCCTGTCGCTTTGCACTGGAACATCTTGACAATAAATAACACAACACTAGATCGGCAGCATAACCTGGCAACCAGCGGGAAAAGGCACTCGTGCCAACGCAGACAACAACGTACCCAAACCCAACCAGGTGAATTGTGCTTCACTTATTCAATTCACGAGAACTAGGGCGGTTTCGTTCCTAAAAACTGTCTGAAACGCTAGAAAAAAAAAAAACAACTTGAAAGCACGCGGAGCTCTAGTCCTGATTTATAGAAGGCACAACTGCTTCACTGAACTTCATTTCAACCACTTACGCCCGCGGCTGACGTCCGCCTTACCAGGCGTCTCCCATGGTGGCCTGCGGCGTGAGCATGGTACCTCACTGGACACGCACCCGTGCCTCAGCGCCGGTGAGCTCTGCGGTCCGTTCGGCGAACGCGCTCCGCCCGAAGGCGGCGGCCGGGTCCAGAGGCGCGGCGCTCCCCACCAGCTCCAGTCGCGCCTGGTCGCCGCCGAACGAGAGCAGTGCCCGGCCGGCGGCGCGCTCCTCCACACGGCCACCGAGCGCTCCAGGTCGGAGCAGGCCAGGCTCCAGCGGCGCACCGGGTCCCGCCCCGCCGGCGCGTCGTGGTCGCGCAGCAGCACCGGGTAGCCGCCGGGCGCCTCCGTCACCAGCAGGTCGCCCTGCTGACACAGCGGCCAGCCGGTGAGCCCGCCACCGCCGACCGAGAGTCGATCGTCAGCCCGACACCACGGTTACTGCTCCATCTGCAGCATACACAAAGGGCAAAGGTAATACTGAGAGCGTCTCCAGAAGTATCATCCCGGGGGTGTTCAGCACGCCAATGTACAGGGTAGGTGACAGAATATGACGACATATCCATCACGCAATCAACAAATATAAGTAGTCATGAGCGTGCATTCATGGCGCGAGTTTGTGTGTGCTGGAGGGAAGGGGGCACAAAGGACTCCTTTAGTACTCGTTTTACCCAGTTTACCGAGCCTTTTTTCAAGAAAGTTTCAAAAGGCTGGCTTCAGTACGGTAGCATATTATCTCATCTTTACGAAATTACAAACCAGCTTTATATCGTTATGCTTACAATGATGCAGATACAGAAAATGACTATGCCAGGATTTTCCACTGACCGTTTCAAAGTCGGCGATTTGGATCCACACGGTGCTGAGACTCTGTGGCTCGGCGACTACCCGCTGTGCCGGTGTACTGGTGTTCACCGCTGCCCACTGGCCGGCCGGGACACACTCGGGTTCGGTCGCGGAGGTGCGCCCGGCGGTGCTGGTCGGCTTCCTGCCGGTCCTGGTGCCCGACCGTCCTCCCCCGGGTGCCGCACCGAAGTTGTAGAAGGCCAACTTCCGCGCAGCCTTTGACATCTTGCTGAACTTGGTGTCAAAAGCTACGACAGCACGGTGCCAGTCTTCCACCTCATCTGAAGTTACAGCTGATTTCAGCACTCGGCGTGTGAAGGAGTCCAGCCGAGCTTTTATCTCGTCTCGCATGGTCTGGAGGTGGTCGTCCGGGCCAGACAGGCTGGCGCTCGGTTCCACGTCTCCATCCGTCTCCTCCATCTCGCCGTCGTCGCCGTCGTGGTAGGCCGTGTCGTCGCCACCGTCAGGCACCGCCGACGGCTGCTGGTCAACACTGCCCGCGGACGGCTGCTGGTCAACACTGCCCGCGTACGGCTGCTGGTCAACACTCCCCGCGGACGGCTGCTGGTCGACACTCCCCGCGGGCGGCTGCTGGTTGACAATACTGTCCGCGGACGGCTGCTGGTCAACACTGCCCGCGGACGGCTGCTGGTTGACACTGCCCGCGGTCGGCTGCTGGTCAATACTGCCCGCGGTCCGCTGCTCGCCGCACTCCGAAGCCAAGAACTTCTTGTGGAGTCTGAACGAAGAAAAAATGATATGCTAGTTTGATATTTGTAAGAAAAAATGCCTCATTTTCCGGGACGTCCCAACTATTGCATTCATGTGAATCCAGCAACCACTGGCGTCACAATTACAAACTATCAAGCACCAAGTACTTAGCGCACCGAATTCGTAGAACGAGCAGTTACTCCTCCAATAGTGGTAAACATGATTTATCTTGATCATCGAAGATCGATTATTTATCATACAGCTGTTAACTTGCATTAAAACAAAATAAACATAGCGTCTACCACGCTCTATAAAACTTTGGCCACGCCAGACAGCAGTCGAGGAAAGCGAGTTTAGTGCGCATAGCAATAAAAAAATGACACAATACGTCCTATCAATTACGTGACTCAACGTCTCATTGCGTATGATCACCCCAACTCCGAGGCTCACGTCAAGACACTGTAATGGGTACCTACGTCAGAATAACTTAAATTTATTCTTTTCATATCTTCAAGAAAGGAATATCTGGCATCCAAGCAGTGACGCGATGCTGGAGCTACCATTAGATTAACATAGCTCACTTGTAGAAGTAGTTTGTATCGGGCAGGATGCCGCGGTCGGCCGCTATCAGCGGGTACCGCTCGCCGTACTCCGCCTGCAGCTGCAGCTTCAGCGTTCGGAGCGCCGTCGCCGGCGAGTGGTGGTGCCGAAACAGCTCCACGATCCGCTCCCTCGTGCGCTCGCTCACCCGACGGAACTTAAGGACCGTCGCCGTCTCCAGCGGGTGGTTGTGTTGGCCCCGAGCCTTCACTTGAAGCGCATAGCCCGCGTCAGGCTTCTTGGACCTGCCAAAAAGAGAGCAAATGCCGCCTTGCTATTGCATGGAAGCACGATTTCGAGACTCTATTATTTTATTTGGCACACACCAAATGTGGAACAAAAATAGGGCACTACTACAAGACAAAATGACAGGAATCTATTATACCTCCCACATCATCTATGTATGAATTATTCACTAATCGCTATATCGAATTACCACTCAACGTGCTGCAGCTACTGCCAGCCTAATACGCCAAAATAAAATAAGCTCAATTTAACTTTTTGGTGGGCATATGTTATCAAATCAAGTCACGCGTTTCGGTTCAAAATACACTTATGTATTTACGGCATGCTAGTCATACACCAGTCATACCCTTTGCAGCCGGTTAAAACGTCATTAAATCACATGATCCGAGGTGATCGTGAAATAAATGACACGGCGGCAAAGCCGAATGCTGAGAAACATTGATTGCGTCAATGAATTTGCTCCTAGTGCGGCATGAAAAACTAGGGTCTCTACATTTTTCATGGGATCCTGCCAAACACTAAAATACCTTATAGCTCTAAAATACCTACAGTACATAACTTGGCCTTCACCATGCTTACAAACAGCATTGTTTCACTTACCTATAGATCACCAATGTATTTTAACCAATCAAGTCCAACTCCCCAAAAAGTTATTTTAAATCAACAACTCCTGAGCACTGACCTGCTTTTGGCATTTTTCTGGAAGGTCACTTTGCGTACGCGTATATCGAGGGTGACGGGGCATCCGGTGTCACGTGGCGAAGCTTTACAAGTCTTGCCAGGCTTTTGCCGAGCATAGTGTTGGCACACGAGCCGCTTCTGCCAAAACAATGCAAACATATTACCAGTATAACGCCTTTTGGGGCGACTAACGGAGCGAGCGAGAGGGTGGGCCTTGCACGTGCGAAATTGCGAGGGGTACCTCCAACTGACTTGTGCACGGCACCCTACTAACTGGTCTCTAGCGATGTGCCAAATTTGGGCACAATCGGCCCAGCCGTTCTCGAGATCTGGAAGCGGCACCCTGCACGTGCGCACGTGCAAAATGGGTCCCAACTGACTTGTGCACGGCACCCTACTAACCGGTCCCTAACCGTGTACCAAATTTGAGCGCAATCGGTCCAGCCGTTCCCGAGATCTGGAAACGACCCCTGCACGTGCGCACGTGCAGCAGCACCCCAACTCTGGCACATGTATATGCAGTGCCTAGTGGGTGCCTACCTACATGCCAACTTTCAGCGCAATCGGCTTAGTAGTTACCGAGATATTGCAACAATTACAAAACTGACACCTCTTCGTTTTGCACGTGGCACGTGCATAAGGGGTCACCCACATGCATCGGGAATAGTCCAATACTTGGTAGAAGGAATTAAGCTACCCTAAAAAAAATTACCGCGTGTAAATCGGTCAAGTGGTTGCTGAGATATAAGCCTCGCAAAAGCGTGACCACGGCCGGCCGGCCGGCCGGCCGCTCATACTCAGAAATTTCCGTTAATCTAAGGAAAGACTACGCTCGCTTCGCTCGCTCCGTAATGATGAAACAATGCACAATGCACAGAGTATGAGGAAAGATGCCAACAGCAAAATGCCGAATTTGCTATTTGACTTTCAAAGTTAAAAAAAAAAATGCACTGTACATATAATAGCTGAACTGCTGGCAACAGGTTGTGACTATATCCTTTTTGCACCCTTTCTGATGTAAATTTATAATAAACAGAAACAACGAAGTCTGTGATTTAATTAACCCGCGCCCCGTAGGAGGGCCGAAACGCCCCCCCCCCCCCCTGTCCTTTTCGGTCGATATCTCCTAAACGGCTGGAGATATCGCCACCAAACTTTCAGGACCCCTCCGGGCATCAATTTTACACATTGTGACCAAAAATTTTTCCAGAGGCTATGACAGGTTGGCCACAAATGACGTCAGAATGACGTCATGTTCTGTCATTTTCGACCGAAAAAAGACCTTCGCGAGAAGACCTGTCAGGCCTACAGCTTTGAAGATACAGAAAGATGATCGAAACATAAAAGGTGTAGAATTGACAGGGCTACAAAACTGCTATCTCGGTTTTTTGAAATTTTTGAGTTTTGACCCCAAAAATAAAAAAACATTTTTTTTGGATATATTAGCCAAAAAATCCAAAAAGTTTGAGTTTCGAAAAAACCGGAATATATGTGATAGTACCTATCGTCTTCTATCAACATACCAAATTTCAGATCGATACCTCGTTTTTGGCCAAGTTATAGCGAAAAAAAACTGTTCAAAAATGATGACGTCAAAATTTCAAACTAAATTTTTGGCAATTCTAGACCTCGTAGAGCAAAACAAAGACCAACATTAGCCTCCCCGTGACGAGCTGCATCGAATGGATACCCGTTTTATGCAAAAATATCAACTTTGAAATTTGACCTAATTTGACCTGACCTTCACCAAAACGTGACCTAGGCTGGCCCCAAAGACTGCCTAACCCACATAATCGCATTTGTCATGTAAAATGGACCATAAAACATGCATCACACGACACTTTCATATTGTGACCCCCCGTGACCTGACCTCGCTGTTACCTGACCTGGTATCAGTGACCTCAGATAGCAAAGTATGTGTGTGACGAACAATGTAACATCGATGGTTTTCAATAAATTACCAATTTACTCGATTTCACAACACATTTCTTGAAATGCCTGTGAACGGTGAAAATCTGACCTTTGACCTGACCTGTGACGTCATCGGTTTGACCTAGGTCAATGAAATTTGGTCACAAGGTAGTTCCCGGGTGGGGCTATCGAACGCCGTTTGAATTTTGAAAATCGGCCAGTAACTTTCCGAGATCTTAGGGGGGGCCGAAACGGGCCCCCCCCCCCCACGGATGGTAGGGTCCGCCGGTAGCCCTACGGGGCGCGGGTTAACCCGCGCCCCCGCCCCGCTGGGGCTCCCGCCCTGCTGGGGGGGGGGGGGTTGAACACCGCCTCCTTTTAACTCAGCTCCTGGGTCACATAGCGACACGCGGTAGGGGGCGTTCGAAAGAGCGTCAAAAATAGTGATGACATGGCTCCAATCTCCTTTTAGGTCAGGTCAAAGGTCAAGTGACCAGAGGTCATCAAGGCCAAATTTCGATAATTTTCAACAAGCCGGCGCATAACTCGGAAACGAATGGAGCTACAGCGCCCCAGAAAAGCATATTTGATAGCCCTATTAGCGCTCTTTTTAAATACTTTCTAAGATTTGACCTAAGGTCAACAGCTTGGCCTGCAGGTGGAAACAACTGCCAAAAAAGACGATTTTTTGCGGAAACCGTTTTCCGCAATAACTTTTCTCTTAGAACTCGCACAAGCTTACTTTTACCGGCATCGTCTTCCTCTCGTCAAGACGCGTTGAATAAAGTATGTTTTGACCTTGAAAGGTCAAGTTAAAAATCTGACCCCACCTCAAGATCCTGGCCGGAAAAGGCTGTGCTGCACGTCAGCCGATCCATATTGTCAAGCTGAACAAATTGAAAATGTTTTTTCACTCCAGCATGCCTCTATCAAACGTTATTAGCGAAAAACTGTCGCATAGGTACCCATTGTCACCTGAGATGACTAAAGCACACAAGCAGGGGTCACGGGTGTCATTTTCCGATAAGGAGTGTCATATTTAACTTGTGCCTCGGTGTTATCGAGTGTTTAGGATGATGTTTGTCCAAATACGCGCCTTTCATTTTTTTCCGTAGTCACAAAATTGATCTCACATTAGGTCACCGATATAAAAAATTGTGTTATACATTTGATGCATACTGCTGCCTTTATACATTACTGAAAGTTTCAAAGTGATCCATCCACTGCAAGCATTGGAACTGTTTCTGACCCCCTGAGGTGAGTTCACTTGACGTGACCCAGTGTCCTGACCTTGAAAGACCTCGGTCTGCAATTTTCACAGCATGTGAACATGCTTCACGAGGCTATTTTGAAATATCCACGAAAAACCATGGGGGTATTCAAACACCCCCGGTAGGGCGCGGGTTAATAGATTTCCAGCAACATTAGAGTAAAGTTATAGCAACTGTTTACTACAGTGTCAAATAATCAGACTAATGCATACATACATAACAAAGAACCCAGGGATTCATACTCCTTGCTGACCCAGTGGTCATGACAGAAAAAGATGCTTTGGTTTTTTCTTCAAACAGGCGGAGCCATTCCTTGGCACTGGCTTCAGTGGATGCACAGCGGACAGCAATCACTTTGCCAGAAAACAACTCCTGCAAAACAGTAGTAGAATGAAGTAATGAACAAACAAAACCTGTATACTGCACTGAATGAGCAGAGCCCAGAGGGGTAGAGGGTGGAAAATAAGAGTAGCACACAAGACACTCCATAAATCTGCTACTTTATCAAAATATAGATGATGCCTTCATATAATAACACTGATTATACTAATAAATGAGTACTGACTAGGTACTGATGCTTGAATCAAATCAAAATGCTTTTATTAGCGACCACCTCAGAAATATTGCAGTCTCGAGTTCCATGCTCGCTGGCTATCGTTCAGACCACAGTATGATTACCTTACACATAAATGTTCCGCAAAGGAGAAGAGGCCCGGGCTTGTGGAAGTTTAACGACTCTCTGATTGCGGATGCTTCGTATGACAAAATCGTCAAAGATCTAATAGTGAATGTAATTGCTCAGTATGCAATACCGGTCTATTCGGAAAAATACATGTCTGATACAGTTAACTTCGAATTCATTCAGTTTACAATAAATGATAATCTTTTTTATGAAACGTTACTTATGCTAATTCGCGGGGAAACTGTGAAATATTCAAAGCAAAGGGCTCGAAAATACAGAGAAAAGGAAACGAAAATCTGCAATGAAATAATGTCAATCCGAAAATCGCTAAACGATTATCCGAACCCAGAAAATCTTAAACGTTTAGAAGATAAACAAAAGGTTCTGGAAGAACTGCGTAAACCAAAAATTCAGGGCCACATTACTAGATCCAGGGTTAACTGGCATGAAGAAGGCGAAACATGCTCGAAATACTTTTTGTCACTCGAAAAGAGAAATTCAACGAGAAAAACAATTAATGCTCTTAAAACGAACGACGGTGTTATCACTGATAAAGAAATGATACTCAAATATTTTTCAGATAACTTGAGAAATAAGTACAGTAAGAACAGTAACAATGCCAATCCTAATGAATACTTACAAAACAACATAACATGTAAGCTTTCAAACGAGCAAAGTCGTGCGTTAGACGAACCAATATCCTTTAATGAACTGCAGTTAGCCCTAAAAAGTATGAAGAGTGGTAAAAACACCAGGATCAAACGGCTTTACGGCCGACTTCTTCAAACATTTCTGGTCATATATTGGTTGCTTTCTGTACAGAGCTTGGTTAGAAAGATTACAAGAGAATAAAAATTTGGTTACTCATAATGAAAGCATTGTAACTCTCATTCCCAAGCCCGGCGTCGCCCCAGACTCTCCAAAAGGTTGGAGACCGATATCGCTCCTCAACGTTGACTTCAAGATAATTTCAGCTGCAATTACGAACAGATTAAAAACGGTTATTCACACAATAGTTTCGCCCACCCAAACAGCGTATATACCTGGCAGGTTCATAGGTGAAAATACTCGTTTATTGTACGATGTTATTGAACATTTAAACAGCACAAAAGATGCTGGCATCATCATGGCAGTAGATTTTGAATCGGCATTCGATACAGTAGATTGGGAGTTTTTGACTGAGGCCTTAAAAAAGTACAACTTCGGCCAATACTTCCGGAAATTAATAAGTGTTCACTATTTAAATCCAGACCTGAATTCGCGGATAGTACTAGAAGGAAGCCTCGGGTCAAAAATAGCTATGAGTAGGGGTATCCGTCAAGGTGACCCAATTTCTGGTTATTTGTTTGACTTAATAATGGAGCCCCTCGCAAATCAGTTAAAATGTTCCACGCGCTTTGAAGGAATTCGTATAGGCAGTCTTGAGGTAAGAATCTCTCAGTATGCGGATGACCTTATAGTCTGCTCAAGTCCGGATTCGAACTCATTAGAAGGTGCGTTGCATGAGCTAAATGAGTTCACGAGAGTGAGCGGTTTGAAAATAAACGTGCAAAAAACGAAATGCCTACCAGTTGGTGAGGTTGACTCAAGTGCTATAGTTAATCTCGGACTGAGCACCGTGAGCCAACTTAAGGTGCTTGGTATACTGTTCAGCAATTCAAATCAAAATATTTCATCAATTAATGTGGAAACGATTCTACCAAAGATAAGTAAAGAAATAGCCCAATGGAACAGAAGAAACCTAACATTAATTGGGAAAATAACTGTTGTAAAGTCATTGTTGGTTGCAAAACTCGTGCATGTGCTAACAGCCTTACCTAACCCCAGCGACGAGGTTCTAAGAAAAATTAACAGTATCCTTTTTCGCTTTGTTTGGAATAATGGACCAGATAAAATCAAAAGGTCGTGGCTTGTGCAAAATTACGAGTGCGGGGGACTAAAGATGATCGACGTTAGATCATTTTTGTCCAGCCTGAAGTCAACCTGGGTAAAAAGGCTCTACTGTGCCGACAGTCAGGTGACATGGGCAAACATTGCTAAACTAAAACTACCCCCAATAGAAAATCTCGTATGCTTCGGATCAACAAAGCTAAAAGAACTAGAAAAAAGGACGAGGAACAACTTTTGGAAAGACGTAGTAAGAGAATGGGCAAATTTTTCTGCCGCCTACATACCAGATGGAGACGAAATTCTTTCCGATAAGATATGGTTTTCGGACAACACTAAGTACAAAAAGACCTTTGTGAGAGATTGGGACAGAAAAGGGCTGCGGTTCATAGGACTTGTTTTGCAAAGAGACGGGCTTACTATACAGAAGGGAACAAATCAACTCCATGTATAATATACAAATGACGTTCTTATGCTACTCTCTCTTATGAGGAGCATACCAGCTGACGTTAAAAACGTAAAACAACGGATAGAGGCACCAGTTCTACCTTTCAAAATTGCGTTACTTTCCGAAAAGTCAAAGATATCGAAAATAGTTTACAAAAGCCTTGTCACGGCACTCTACGCGAAACAAAGAGAGAGACCATCTAAAGTAGAACAAAAGTGGGTGAGAGATGTGGGAGACATGCACTTTGGCACCATGAGAGACATACGCCTCTCAACCAAAAATAGTTATTTGCAAATCTTCCATTTCCGAACAGTGCACCGAATAGTAGCCACGAATACATTTTTATATCGTATCGGAAAAGCGGACAGTCCATTATGCACTTTTTGTGAAATGGAAGATGAAACTCTTTTACATGTGTTGTGGAGCTGCGATGTGGTGCAGCGCTTTATTAAAGAGGTTGAAGCACACTTAACATCCACATTTAGCATTGTTTTGAATGCAAAAAAAGAAACATGGTTCTTCCCTCGTCTCCCGAGCGAAGATAGGTTGAAGATATTGATAATAACATTAGCTAAACGTGTGATATTGCGCTCAAAGTATATAAACGTCCCCCCTAGCATGTCACTATTTTTGTCACTACTGAGAGCTGAAGCATCAGTAGAGAAGAACGCTGCCGTCAGGCGGCAGACTTTAGATAAACACGAGACCAAGTGGGGCAGATTAGCTGGCATTCTTGAAGAATAAATCAGAATTTAGCAGCAAAATTTAGCGGATTTCCTGCAACATTTTCCCGAATTCAAAACTTGCATACACCTATCACCCCCTCCCCTCCTCTTCCTACCCCCCCCCCCCCGACCTCCACCCCTTGCCCATATTATCACTTCACCCACTGATTCGGCCCCACATTATGTGTTCGTAACCGTCCCTTGGACGCTGCCGAGCCCGTGTGGCCGTCGCCGCCGCAAGCTAGCCCGCTGGGCCTGTGTCGCCGCTGCCCTCGCTGGGATGTTGTCGCCGCTGCCCTCGCTGGGGCTATGCTGCCGCCGCCCTCGCTGGTGACGTGTCGCCGCCGCCCTCGCTGGGCCCGCGCTGCCGCCCACCTGTCGGTAACCTCTATCCTTGCGCAATCTGATTTGTGTCAGCTAAGGCTTAGATGTACGCTTGTAGGCTTAGATGTACTCTTTTGGGCTTAGGTGTACGCTGGTAGACCTAGGTACATGCGCCTGTAAGGAGGGAGCAGAGCTGAATGCCGCTGAGGGCGGTTTAGCCCACGACTGCCCTCTGTGTCAGCAGGCATGGTATTTATAAGGACACAGTCACCGGTTGCGGACAAGGGGCAGTGCCGGTAGACTATCGTACGAAGATGTTATCATTCCATCTTCCATAAGTTTGTTGCTGGCAGTCTCGCGAGTCACGTGCGGGAATCTCGCGCGTGTGACGTCGTCACATACTGCGCCGCGTCAGTCCAGCGGGCGGTCCGTAAGAGGCGCCTGACGTCCGTGATGTGCGCACAAAGTGCCTGCGTCGCCCGGTGATGTGACGTCTGTTGATGATATCGAACGAAGATGGACTGGTCTCACCGTGTGTACTGATGGAACAGACGTGGTTCTGTGCGGTCGCGGAACTGATGGTGGGAATGATGTTGATCGTGTGGTGTGGCGATTATGATGGTCGTGATGGTCATGATAATAAAAATTAAAAAAAAAAAGAATCAAAATGTAAACAACAGTTTCACACTAACCTTATGGATGTTCGGGAACATTCCCATCCTTTCACATAGGATATAAGAATGGCCACCCTTGCCCTTCACTTCGTGATATTCATTCTGAAAGCAAAATATAGAGTGGTTAACTTGTGTACCTTTTGTAGAGCTATTAGTTAGAGAACTTAGCCACTCATACTCCAGCAACTTAGCATCCAAGCTCGTGGAAAAGCCAAGTTTGTAATAAGCTTGCTTTATATGTAACCAATGCCCAGGTGAACAGTGATTAATCAAACCCTCGCCCCTATATGGAGGAGGGGGTCGAACGGACCCCCTCTCTGTTTTTCGCGAATAACTCGCCTACAAAGCGGCTGATCGCGACGAAACATTCAGTACCTCAGAGTTTTTTTTTTCAATTTTACACCTTCCCTGAAAGTTTTATGACCCTGAACCAAATCACCTATTTTTCGAGACTATGTTTGGCCGGAATCGCGATTCAACGTATGTCGGCTCGCATAAGCCGCGCACATGCAGATATTTTTTGTGGTGGTTTCAAGCGTTCGAACATGTGACATGGTGTTGGTCCCATGCATTATGGTGGGTGTCAAGGTCACCTGAAGGTCAGGTCAGGTCAGGTCACAGACCTTGACGACTTCGGTTGACTTTTTCGAGCTTTATATGTTTCTGGGCTAGTTTTGGGAGCTGATATCAAATTTAGCAACCATTTGAACATGAGCGAAGTAGTTTTGGTACTTCGTAACATGATGTTACAAAACTGTGCGTGACAGTTGGCACTTACTATGAACACTTGGCAGGACACCTACCTACTGGCTGACCTGACCTGACCCGACCTGGCCTAAATACATGGACATCATCTGTGATAAAAATAATATGAAATTTGTAACCAGCACCCCGAAAAAAAACATAGCAACCCCACTTTACAATGTTACAACAGGTCCTGATTTTCCCGAATTTCGGGTCATTGACCTGATCAGTAAGGTCAGCCAATGACCTAGGTCCTTAACCCTCGCCGGCACAGGCCATTTTGCGTTTTTCGACGGCACAAGGGGGTGGGGGGTTGGTTGGTTGGTACAACCCCCTCCCCTCGCGTTTGGCCCCTGATAGAGCTAGAGCTTCGCGAAAAAAAAAAAACGAGCGTGTTGCCCGTCACGAGAGGAAGCTGATGATACCCAATTTTAAGGTCCTAGGTCATCGGTTGACCTTCCAGGTCAGGTCAATGACCCAAAAGTCGGGAAAATCGGGACCTGTTAGAAAGTCGTAAAGTGTGGCTGCTATGAGGTTTTTCGGGTTGCTGATTACGAATATCGTGTTATTTTTTTCACAGATGATGCCTTTAAGTACTTTGACCAGGTTGGGTCAGGTCAGGTCAACCAGTAGGGGTCGTGACGGGTATTCGTAGTATGTGTCAACTGCCTCCGACAGCTTCGTAACATGTTACGAAGACACCAAAACTACTTCGTAAATGTTCAAATGGTTGCTAAATTCGAATTCAGCTCCAACAACTAGCCTAGAAACATGTAAAACTCGAAAAGTGAACCGAGGTCACCAAAGATGAATGACCTGACCTAACCTTCAGGTGAAATTGACCTTCACTCTAATGCATGGGAGCAACATCAAATCACATGTTTGAACGTTTGAAACACGAAAAGCTTGCAAATGCGCGGCTAATGGCGACCGACACATGCGAATCACGATTCCGGCCAGACATGGTCTCAGAAACAAGGTCACAGATCAAAGGTTATTTGAGTCAGGGTCATGAAATTTTCAGGTTAGGTGTAAACTTGATCAATGCGAGGGTGCTGAAAGTTTCGTCGCGATCGGCCGCTTTTTGCGCGAGTAATTCGCGAAAAACCTTAGGGGGGTGCAAAAACCCTGGCGTCACCGGCAATGTTTTCGTTCAGGGTTGGCCGACTCAAACCGATTCAGATCGACTCAGACCGACTCAGATAGACTCAGAACGACTCAGACTGACTCGGATCGACTCAACCGGCTCAAATCGATTCCGATCGACTCAGACAGACTCAGAACGACTCAAACCGACTCAGGCAGACTCAAACTGACTCGACCGACTCAAACCGATTCAGATCGACACAGATCGACTCAGATAGACTCAGAACGACTCAGACTGACTCAGACCGACTCATATTGATTCTGATCGACGCAGACAGACTCAGAACGACTCAAACAGACTCAGGCAGACTCAAACTGACTCGACCGACTCAAACCGATTCAAATCGACTCAGACCGACTCAGATAGACTCAGAACGACTCAAACTGACTCAGATCGACTTAACCGACTCAAATCGATTCCGATCGACTCAGACAGACTCAGAACAACTCAGACAGACTCAGGCAGACTCAAACCGACACAACCGACTCAAACCGATTTAGACCGACTCAGACAGACCCATCGGTTTGACCTGAATCATCAGACCTGAATCGGTTCGAGCGGTCGAGTCAGTTTGAGTGTGCCTGAGTCGGCTTGAGTCTGTCTGAGGCTGTCTGAGTCGTTCTGAGTTTGTCTGAGTCGATCGGAATCGATTTGAGTCGGTTGAGTGGGTCTGAGTCAGTTTCAGTCGTTCTGAGTCTATCTGAGTCGATATGAATCGGTCTGAGTCTGCCTGAGCCGGTTTCAGTCTGCCTGAGTCTGTCTGAGTCGTTCTGAGTCTGTCTGAGTCGATCGGAATCGATTTGAGTCGGTTGAGTGGGCCTGAGTCAGTTTGAGTCATTCTGTGTCTATCTGAGTCGGTCTGAGTCTGCCTGAGTCGGTTGGAGTCTGCCTGAGTCGTTCTGAGTCTGTCTGAGTCGATCGGAATCATTTTGAGTCAATCGATTTGAGTCAATTGAGTCGGTCTGAGTTAGTTTGAGTCAGTCTAAGACTGAGTAGATCTGAATCAGACTCAGTTTGAGTCGGTCAAGTCAGTTTGAGTCTGCCTGAGTCGATTTGAGTCTGCCTGAGTCCTTCTTTACGTTATCTTCTCTTACCCAGTGACGTCACAGGCACAGCATGCTTTGGCCTGGCACGGCGGCCTGATACAGGAAACTTTAGCCTCAAACGAAAAAGCTACCGGTGACGCCAGGGTTACCGATACCACCTAACCTTTCCAGAACTATCTCACTTTAATATCTGCATATGTACCTCCCATGTATAGCCTTGCTCCTATGCTACGGTAACATTGAAATTATAAATAACAGGAAATAGCCTCCACTGCCTCCACATTTTATTTCAGGCGGATGCCAGTCGGGAAACTATGGTAAAATCTGCTATTTTTAGCAGTCTGCTATTTATAGCAGAAATCTGCTAAAATGGGTACGCATGTGACGTCATCGTACCCAAATATAGCAGATTTGGGTACGGCCCCATACAAAAGCAGATCTGCACCCTAATTGAAGCAAATGCGCATCAAATGCCTGGCAGACTCATGATGAGAATAGTGCTGAGAGTGATCTCTGCTATTTTTGTTCAGATCCGACTATTTTCAATTCATTATTTGAAAATAGTCGGATCTGAACAAAAATATCAGAGGACATTCTTAGCACTATTCTAATCATGAATCTGCCAGGCATTTGATGCGCATTTGCTTCAATTAGGGTGCAGATCTGCTTTTGTATGGGGCCGTACCCAAATCTGCTATATTTGGGTACGATGACGTCACATGCGTACCCATTTTTAGCAGATTTCTGCTAAAAATAGCAGACTGCTAAAAATAGCAGATTTTACCAGTTTCCCCGACTGATGCGGCATGTTGATGTACCTGTATTAATTCGGGCAGAAAAGAAGTCACAGGGCATAGTCCACTTACCTCTGAAAGCAGCAGCATAGCAGCAAAATTAAAATATTAAATATTTCCGACCGTAACGACACCCGATCCCCCTATATCAATATCAATAAAAAAAACACCTATCAACACAAATAGGGCTTTGGGTGGGCTTTGGTGAGAATCAAGGTGCGAATGAAATCATGTGACATTTCTGGCTGTAGACGTCATAAAAAGTATTTTCGCAGCTGTTCTATGACGCATTTGTAGTTTTATTTTTGTACAAAACATTATGAAATCCTCCCTTAAACCTCAACATTATCATTTTAACCTCACCTGAAACTACTTAATAAGCCTAAAAAGCATTTAACCTCAAACTCTGAACATTTATATACCACGAACAAGTACTTATTACGTCAAAATAACGGTAAACAAGGCAGCTTGTAGACCACTGAATGTTGATGTTGTACACATCGGAGGGAGGGGTTACGAAAACGGCGCGGTAGGTTGTTGGGGGAAATTTTATTTGGTAAGCTGTGATTACTTAACGTTAATTATACAGTCAATTGATCTTCATAATGAAGTGCTCTTTTGAATGATGTGTAAATTTAATGGGATATGTTTAGAAAGTGCTAGAGTTCTGAATTCTGCTAGGAGGGCACCCCGCCGCAGTGGTGGCGCTGCCATTTCAATTTCATGCGATGAATAATAATTGGGTAATAATAAGCGGAATATTTCCGATTTGAATATTACTACCAGTATGATACTAATCTCATTTGTGAGAAAGCAAAATAGGAGGGAAATAGGTAGTTATCTGAAGGTCAGATTGAGTGGAAACTTACAAGCTGTGCCAAATATGCCCGGCATAGTAGTGGGATTTGACCAAAGATTTCTGGGCATGTCTGGCGTAACCATGTATGCACTGAATTAAGCGCATCGTGGTCGCTGAAAGTTCTTGGCATGCAGGGCAGGGCGGCTGTGTAATCTTCAGCGAATGACAGTCACCAAATTTTAGTTTTATTGCACTCTGGTCAATCTAGCAGCGGAATTGCCCTGCGGGCGGCTCTGCTCTGGAAAGGTTAGGGATGAGACGTCCCCCACCCCAATTGTCGAATGCCTCGACTCATGACTCATGAGTCGCCCTGAGTTTACTCAGCGGAGTGGCAAACGCCCAGGGCCAGGGGGCCTCCATGCTCAGCGTGGAAATAGGTAGGTATAATGGAGGAGCTTATTGAACATCGTCGAGCCTTGTGAAGTAATCCTGCAGTGGGTTCCTGCCTAAGTTCCTGTCCACTGCGGAGTGCGGGATCGAGGGAAATGAGAGCGCCGATGGCCTGGCAAAACAAGCGGCCTCCCTGTCCTCGGATGTCCGCTCGCTGACCCGGGCGGTTCATATGCGCGGAGTGCCAGCAGTGACCGGACAAGCGGTGCCCCGCTGCGCTTTGCTTCGTGTGCCGAGAAGAGGCACACGAAGAAGTGAAGAAGAAGTGCCAGAGCACGTGCGACTCCGGTGCCCGGCCCTCGCTGGCGCCTGCCAGCCTGTTGTTGTTGTTGTTGCTGTTGTTATTCTCCTCGGGTCGGCTCACGGCCGACCGTAGCCCAGCGGCTCTCGGTGACTGAGGTAGCCGCGGCTCAAGGCCGCCACGGCCCCGCCGTCCCGAAGCTGCGTAGGGCCCGGTCTAATGTTGCCGAATAGGCGGAGCCCCGCGCCAGCCAAGCACGGGCACCTCAGCAGCACGTGCTCTGGCGTGTCCGGGCCCTCGCGGCACACCAGGCAGCGCGCCGCTGGGCGGGCCAGGTCGCTGCACTGACGACAGCCGCGCTCGGGGCGGCGTCCGATCCTGTGCAGATAACTCTTCGAGCGGCTCCAGTGTCCCGCCCGCAGCTGGTGGTCGTTAACCGCCTCGTCCCGAGACTCCAGGAGCACCGGCATCGGCATCCGGTCTCCCATTATTATCTTGAAGAGGCCGTCTGGCCAGCTACGACGCCATGCCTTGGTGGCGGAGCGGCCGACGGCCTTCACGATAGAGCGGACGTCCGTTGGGACGGTGTCTTGCGACAGGCTGGATGCCTCTTTAGCCAGCACGTCCGCAGTCTCTCATCGCCGGGTATTCTGCAGTGCGCTGGGATCCACTGCATGAAGACTCGGCGTCCTCCGTCCGTGAGCGTCAGGAGCAGTTGCCATACGGCGGCGCCGAGTGCTGTCGCCTGGCTCCCAGGCCCCAGCCCCACTCGCCAGCGTGGCCAGCGCCGCCTGCCTGTCGGCGCAGACGATGACCGGGCTCACCGCCGGGCCGCCCTCCAGTTGCAGCAGCATCTCCAATGCCCCGCGGATCGCCACCAGTTCGGGCCGTCGGCGCGGGTTCTGCTGCATATCTTGCCTGCAGGGGCTCGGAGGCCGGAGCTCGTGTTCCTCGCCTGAGGGCCGAGGGGAGGATTATCAGCGCTCCACTCCCTCCGGACACCTCCCTCCGCCGAGCCGTCGCTCCATACCCATACGGCGTCGTCTGGGAGGGCGGCCAAGTGCTCCTCCGCTCTCGCCCGCCGGACGTCGGGTGGTGCTGTGCGGCTGATGTGGCTGCCGATGTCGAGTCTTATTTGGACCCTGGTGTCATCGATCCACGGCGAGATGGTGACGTGCAATCGTTCCTCCACAGGTACATCTCGCACGCCCGCGCTCACCAGGGCGCGCGCCCCCGTGTCGCGCCAGCCGGTGGTGGTGCGGAGCCGCCGTGGGGCCGTTGCTTCGGCCACCGCGCGCAGTGGGTCGCCGCTTCTTTGTGAGACTGCCAGGCAGCTCAGTCTGGCAGCGAGCAGGTCCCGGCGTGCTCTCACGGGGACCGAAACGGCTTCCGCGAGGAGCGGATCCCTCGGCGTGCTCACGGGCACCCGATGATAACGCGGGCTGCCGCGCGCATCTCCATCTCAAGTAGCTCCACGTGGGCGGTGGGACTCGGACGCAGCAGGGAGCTATGCAGCCGCCGCGTATTCCAAGGCATCGCGGACGTAGCCATTGGCTACTACTCGCAGCTGTGGCTCCCGCAGACCCCAGGAGCGCCCGGTCATCTTGCAGAGATGTGCAATCCCTGGCTTAGTCTTCTTCCGGACGCGCGTGAAGTGCTCACCCATGGGAAGTTGCCGATCCATGGTTACACCGAGAAGGTGAAGGTGTCTCCCAGCGTCCACTCGCGCCCCGTCTGCGTGGATGTACAAGTCACGGGCATCGACGTAGTGCGGCGACAGGGCTAAAACTTGCGTCTTGCTTCCTGCCAGCCGCATCTTCCAGTCGCGGGTCCACTTCGCCATGGCGTCCGCCGCCTGTTGAGCCCGGTCCCTGGCCTCCGCTCTCGTACCGCCGGAACACAGTGTTGGGGTGTCATCGGCGTACAGGAAGATTCGCCACTGTCACGTGGATTCACCACTTTCTCCGAGACCGACGCGCTCGCGCGGATGTCAACGGGGCACGGAGCCGGAACCGCCCATTCCGAGCTGGCCTGCCGCAGGGGTCTGTCCTCGCACCGACCAGCCTCGAACACACCCTCCGCCGATTTTTGTGGCACCAGAGAGGTGTTCACGGGCACCGCACACTGCTGCGTGCGGTGTGTGAGGTGCGTCCAGCAGGCGTGGGGGTAGGGGATGGGTAGGCGGTTCTGACGTCACGGCTGCGTGCGGTGGACGGTCCGCTGTGGCCGGTCCCGACCGGCCACAGCGATCGCTGTGTGCGGTGACGGAAGGCTGACGTAGGGACGAAGTGGGCGGAACTTCGAGGCTGTGTGCGGTCCGACCGCACACAGGGCCCGTGAACAGCCCTTAGAACTTTCGGCCCGGGCCTTGTTCCACGGCACAATGCTACAGTGACAGTGCGCTACACGTACATATTGTGGTATTGGATCAACTAATTCAGACACTCAAACATGGGAAAGCGTCCAAGGCCCCGGAACGCTCGTCGCCCTGTCTGGTTGATATAGCCTTGGACGGCAGACGTGCACAAATGCTTTAAATTAAAGTGGCTTAATTTTGGCACAAATAGGCACCCAACTTTGGGCGCAAATCATGCAAAAATTTCAGCGCAAAATCGCTTACTCAGAATTTCAGCGCATGAGGCTCTCACGGGCGTCCGGCGTAGTTTAAGGATGTTTTCCAGTCTGGTGAATGAGCTTTTCCCGCTAAGGCATTGACAGATTCTGACAAGAATCTGACGATCTTATAAACCCCATTCTTGATTTTTTGACTTTATTGGCTAAGATAGGTAATCTATAGGTGACATGTAAATGATTAATTTCTTTTCCATTTTTTACAATGACTGATGACTCCAATGACTGATGCAATAATATTGTCATGGATGTCATTGATCGTGGCATTGATGTCATGAAAATTCCTGTACATCATAAGTAAGTACAGGGTGATTTTTTTTAACTGTTAAAAAGTAAACGTCAATGGTGGTCCCTAAATCGAAAAATCTTGTGCAAAAAAGCAATGCACGTGATAGATAAATCTGGGACATTTTGTATGGTGTCATGATTTGTCCCTTTTAACCGAAGGCCTCGGCCCCAGTGGAGCCTGAAAATGCCCCACCAATCGGGCACGCATGGTCCACCGCCGTTCAGTAAGGAACGACACAAAACGATGATTTTGAAGCATTGAGGCAGTTCGAAGCATACGATCATCAAGGGGATACCTCAGAAAGACGTTAAATAATGCACGAACAAGCTTGTAGTCATAAATAACCTTCAAACGGTCCATCTGGCGTATGTGCATCCTCTGAAGAATCAGTCTTCAGGGAGAAACAAAAACAGCGAATCAGACACCACCAGGGCCGCCAGTAGCAAAATCCTCGACCTGCCCTTTCTATACTTCTAGTTTTTGGACCCAGGTATGGCAGATATAACAAGAAAATATTGGAAATATCTGGCAGAGCTGAAAATGGGTGATAGGAACCTTTTCAGTCCGCCTAATGAGCATGGGAGTCCATGGTGCTGTTCAACACGTGCTCAGGCGGGCTGATTCGTGTCGGTGAGAGAGGGGGTAACTTCAAGCACAAGTAAAATACACGATGGACGTTCCTTCACATCGTGTCTGCATGAAATCAAAATGTCCCAGAATGCTCGTCATGCTGGTATATAATTTTACAATATATATTTGCATTTTGACGCCACTAAACCTCATTACTTTTTAACAAGTAAAAAAAATCAC